CTTGACTTCTACCTGTGCTAGCTTGGGCACTTTGACCTGCAGTTCCCATGCAACCTTGTCCTGGCATCCCTTGTCCGTGCAGACCTTGTCCTACCTGACCTTGTCCTGTCAGACCTTGTCCTCCTTGACCTTGTCCGAACTGACCTTGTCCTAACAGACCTTGTCCATGCACACCCTGACCTGGATACCCTTGACATGCAGTACAACCACTACATCCATGACCTTGACATCCCAGAAAACCCTGGTTTTGACTATAGTTTCGTGGGTCCATCAAACCACCACGCATCGGTCCATATGACCCAAACGTATTCCATGCAGGAGGTAGCATCTGTCCAGTTCCAACTAAGCTTCCAGCTTGACCAACTAAGCCCGGAGCCGCTTGTGTCGCTGCTGTCCCAGTTCCTACTGCTGCTTGCGTGTTGCCTTGCATCGCAGTACCTGTGGGCGAATTACCTGCAGCACCTGTGTTTCTTTCTACGCCTTGCTCACCTCCTCCTTCCATTCTGTTCATCGTTGGCGACCCTACTGGTCCTACATGCAGTGAGTTCATTCCTAGCGCACTACCTTGGCCATTAGGTCCTTGTCCCTGGTTACTTCCTGGCATCATCGCGTCTACTTACACTACGCGTGGAGCACAACCGCTCCGCTACCATGCGAAAATCCAACAGGACCTAATTACAACCACTAGTATCGTGCGCTTGCGTCGAATTGGGTCGGCTTAACTCCGCGTCGAGCGTATGAACAAAAAACAACCCAAATTCACGACGGCTTCACTGCAATACCCTCGGTTCCTTTTCCACACAGGAAACACAAAGGAAACAAGCAAGCTGTCTGTCCAGCTAAGTTGTCTTGCACGTGCAACATGCATAGTTTGGTCTTCTCCTGTTTCAGCTGTTCCGTGCTGTTGAAGTGGCAGCGGCGGCATGCATAAAAAGTAAACGTTCTCCTCAAACTTCTCACCACAATGTTGGGTGAATTCAACTTGTTTGAATTCACCATCACATTCCAAAAATAAACGTTGTCCATCCGCATCTTGTTGACAAATTCCAAAAACGTCCAAAAAACATCTTCAAACATTCTCACAGCTTCCAGAAATAAAATGCAGCTCGGAAAACGAAGTTTCAGTTGGAGTTGTTGTTGAAAAACGCATGCACATGTGTTTGAAAAACGACGACAAAGTTGACCTCAAACTCGTCCACATCAAAAACACTCCCGAATTCATTTGCTATCCAGATAACATCTGAGGCAAATGAATTCTTTTCCAAAACATCATTCTCATCCACAAAGTTGATGAAATAAAACATCATGCACCAAAAACGCATTCTCATGCTTTCTCAACCAATTCCAGAAGTTCTCAAACCATTCTGCATCATTTCCAACGCTGTGCACAAATAAACCATCACGAACATCATGTTGTAGCCACCCTGTCACCTTCAGGCAAGAAACGTAGCACATGCAACTAATATGCACGGGAGTGTATATTTCCATACAGCCTTCGTGGCATAACAGTCACCCTGACACTTTGAAACAAACACCGACAACGCCGGGTCGCAACAAAGTGGTGAGAAAACTAACGCAGTGAAACAGAAGAGTGAAACATGATCTACGGTGAAAAAGACGGCGCGGCTACAGCACTCAGGGCAAGAGTCCGCTCAGAACTGCTTTTCCAATCATCATGCTGCATCAAAATTTGGGAGGAGCACCACTATGCTGGTGCTCTTGCAACTCGTCTTCATGGTATGGGAGATTGTACTCGTCATCAGTGCGTGGCGATATCTGTGCATTGAGTTTCGGACGAGGTGCTGGCTCCCTTGGCTGTATGGTGTAGCTGCAGTATGGCTGTGCCTGGGTTACTTCGTAACTGGCAGATATAGTACAACTATCCAGAATACAGCCAATCTGACGGAGTTGGCGTATGGTCGCTTCAATGTCACTGACCCTCTGGGATGGGATGTTTTGGATGCCTTGGAGCTTCTGTCGGGCTTTCTCCAGAAGTTTGGTGGCATCATCGACTTCACTGGTAGTGACCTGGCAGAGGGTCATTTGAGTGATGGACTTTGCAAGTCGATGGACAGCGGCGTCTTTGGTGGGAGTTAGTCGCTCCATTCCAAAGGTCTAAGTCGTCTACAGGTTGATGTGTAGACCTAAATCCTCAGAGCATGCAGCTGACACTAAGCGTGCTGCAACCATGGCCGAGAAGCGGCATGAGGAGGTGTAGTGCAGATCATTGGGCCGGTTGAAAGATTGGTTGGGCGCAGGTCAAACAGCGACGGGCACCATGGCTAGATGTACTTTGACATCGCACTACACTACCATACAACAATTAAGGTAGAACAACACGAACAAAACAACTTTCACACCCTGAAAAGAATTATTATACCCGCTCTTCATCACCTTCCGTCCCATATTGGCTCCGGCATGTTGCATACAAAGGTAATCGGAGCGGGCAGTAATCAACCATGAGTACCCCATGGTGACAACGCCGCTCAATCCAAGTCGAGTTACAGGCTGAATGCATGGATGGGAAGTTTGGGTACTCTACGTTACCTCAACTGGCTTACTGGAACTGCACGTGTGCGGTAGTGCGTGGTTCTCCACTGCTACTGGCGCTACTGGCTGTCGCAGTGGCGGGAGGTGGATCACTGCTCTCCACGGGCCTCATCATTTGGGCGATGAGTGGGTGGGTTTGTTTGTCGCGCAGGATCCGCGTCATTTCGCGCGTGAATGCTGCAGGATTACAAACTAGTTCCTTCGCTTCCGCTAGTGGCCTGTCAAGGACAATGGCAATGAGCATTTCGCCACCATCCTTGTGGATTACAGTTGGTCGGCCGGCTTGTACCTCTGCGAGGATTGCCACTGCCTTGTTTTCACACAAGGTGCGTTCCCATTCCTCCAAGACTCTTTGCGCTAGGGTGTCAGTTTGCGGCGGGGCTTTAAGAGCAGCTGTTGTCCCTAACGCTCTTGCAAGGGGCCATCAGGTGGCAGGGGGATGGGAGATACTGAATGGCCGCTACTGCACGCAAGACGTCATTTGTGTGAACTTCATATGACGTGGTCGTTTTCTTGCTTATGGCAGGTTCGGAGTCAGCCCATAGTTGTGCCAGTGTATATCCTGGTTTAGGATCCATATACTTGCGGTTCCATACTGCATGATGGGACCATTGAGGCGCATCATGGTTGATTTCAACCGAATCTCTTTTCATGTCATATTCTTTGAGCATATCGTCTAATTCTTGCAGGCTAGCGGCTCGGTGAATACAACATTGTCTGACAGCACCATCAATGTGCAATGGCCATCTCACCGGCATGTGGGAGTCTTCAAGGAGTCCATTGCCATTTTCCTCTATGATTGTGCCCAGCATAGGGACATCAATGGTGGCTTTGAGGCTAACTTGCGCACGTTTGCACTTCCACGTGTCGGGTGCTAGGAGGCCTCTGGCAGCCAACAGTGCGAGTGATGGGAACTCTGGTTGGTCATTCGCCGGTAGCACCTCTTCTTTGATAACTAATTTTAGCCCGTGTAATGGCTGAGGCTGTTCTTTTGGAGGGTGTTGAGGTGGTTGGGATGCGGCATCCTTGGGTGTTGTGTCTTCAAACCAGGTAGGGCGGACCGACTGGACACCAATGGGACTTGCAGAGCTAGCGGTTTTGATGCTTTCTCTGCGCAGGCTATGGTAAACGGGCGGGATCATCCATGCCGGCACAAAAACTGTGATAAACTGCACATTCCAAATGATCTGCAAATTCTGCGGTTTAACCTCAGGCGTGATACATCTCTTGCTGGTGCTCAGCTGGGAGCAAAAGAGTAAAGTGTTAACTTGCTGGTGCTCAGCTTTCATGCTTTATCTCCACAAGTGATCCAGAGAGACTTTCGAGCAGTGCTTTGCTACTAATGCATCAGGTTTGCATTGATCATTTCTTATTAATATTGATATTTTGGCTTAGGGGTCTTGGCCAGTGCAGCAGATTTTTTTGCCGTAAAAAAAAGATGTCTTGATACTTTTATCTTTTATCTCCACCTAAACTGTCAAAAGGCATTTGTATTGATCTTCATTTTGAAAAATGCAAAGAAAAAATATATCCTAAATCAATTTTCCCGGTTTAAAATTTTAAGCAGGGCTGTGAACATGTACCACCATCCAGGTAGCCCGGAAGTTGAACATTGTTGTTGCTGAACATGGATATGTATGGGTATTGTTCTATCTATATATGTTCAACACCCGCAAAAAAAACATTGCTGAACATGTGAACATTGTGTTTGTTGGTGCTGACAAGTACCATGAACATTGCTGGTGCTGAAAAAGTACCAGCATCCATGTAGCCCCTTTCTCATCCATGTAGTCCCTGAGTTTTAGGTAGCTGTTGGTGCTGCACAAGTACCATGAACCCTGTTGGTGCTGAAGAAGTACCAGCATCCATGCAGGCCCTCATTTTTGAAATGTTAGCTTTGCATAGGCCCTCTGGGTGATTTGTTTACGAAAAGCACGTTGTTGTTTTTTTTTGGGGGGGGACAGGGGGGGGGTTGATATGTTTTGTTAATTTTTTCACACTGAAAAAGTATCAGTACCATCATCCATGGACACCACAAGATGGCCCTGCCCTGCAAAAAAAATGGGACATCTCTTCACTCAGAGAGTTGTACCAGGATCCTTAACTTGAGAATGGCCCAGCAAAAATTGAGATAGCTCTTCACTGAGAGAGTTATGCGAGGATCCATATCTTCAGATGGCCCTGCAAAAAAATGGGATACCTCTTCACTGAGAGAGTTGTACCAGGATCCTTATCTTGAGAATGGCCCAGCACAAGTTCTGAAAAATTATGTCAGGATCCATATCTTGAGATGGCCCTGCAAGAGTTACTTGAGATATAGGAACATAGATGGCGCTGCGAAAGTTACTTGATATAATAGGGACCCCACCACTCAAAGAGTTTTATCAGGATCCATGTAGCATTTTGGATCTAGTCAGAGATAGCTGAGAGAAGTTCATTTTGAAGACGTGTCAGAGTCTCAAAAAGGAGGGGGGGGGCAGGGCGTTGCAAAAAAGTCCATCTCGCCCTAGGCCAAGCTGATTGTTCTTCTTCAGGATCAGAGTCCTCCAAAGGCAGGGGGCCAAACGGGCACAGCTATGTTGAGTCAATGGTACTTTTGCAGCACCTTGATGCAACAATCTGGCATGGTGGTGCTTCTCCAGCGCCAGCCCAGGCATTGATGGGGCCAATCACTGTTGAAGAGGTGGCGCGCTGAGTGTCCAAGTGTGAGTGTTGGTGCTGTGTAAGTACCAGCTTTTACCTCCAGTGCTGAGTAAGTACCTGGATCCATCCATACACCTACAGATGACCTAAAATAATAAGATATACCTTATACGGTGCTGCGCAAGTACGTACAGGGACCTCATTTTTTGCAGTGTTCTTCACAATGTGGCACTTCTTCAGCGCCACAACATTACTGAACCAGATTCGTGCTTAATTTTAATGTGCCATGTTGCACATAATGTGAAACAATACCGTTTCGTTTGAACAAGTACCACCGTGGTGCTGAGAAAGTGGCACTAGCAATACAAGGGTGCTTCAAAGATGATTGCTTCAAATCAAGTTCAGCTGCACTTCAAAACTACATGTTTTCAAGGGTTTCTCATGTCACCCTGGCCTGCCATCAACGATCAGCATCGCTGTTCAGGAGGTCGTGGCCTTACTCGTCATGGAGGCAGGACCAATTGGGTTGGGGAGCATGAGCGGTTTCTTTCAGGACCATTGGGTGCTGAAAACATACCATGGTGGTGCTGCATCAGTACGATCTCCATGATTTTTTTCTTTATACATACATACATACATACATGCATGCATACATACATACATACATACATGAATACATGATCATACATACATTACATACATGATCATACGTGCATACATACATACATGCATAGGAAATGTGGTGCTGCACAAGTACCACATGCATAGGAAATGTGGTGCTGCACAAGTACCACTTGTTTTGCTCATTCTTCTTCAGCACTGGTACTTATTCAGCACCTTCTTTCTGTTTCAGAGGTACTTCCCCAGCACCTGCTATGGAAACAACTCCAAGTTTCTTGACCCATCATGCTCGGGGCTCAGTTTACGCATAGATGATGGGCTTCAACCGAACGTTGGAACACAAGAACATCCGCACCAGAAGTTTTTGCATGTCATGTATGATCATTATTTGCCGACCGCCATCTCAAATTCGAGTATATACATCAAACTTAACTTGACTGTGCCTGCGCGTTGTGTGATTCCGTCCCTCCCAACATTTTCCCAGCGTTGCGCAGCAAGCGTGCAGCAGCTTCTCACACATGATGTGCGGCGCCGCACTTTACTTGGTGACACTGCGCTTGCGCTTGCCACTTGGAACACTTTTTCTTGTATGGGGCTGGACATCTTCCACTCGACGAGGGTTGCTCACTCCGATTGCGATCATCTTCTGGTTGTCTCCGTAAAACTTGTGGTAGACATCCTGGACGGATGTAGAATCAAGATGTTGATCATTGATGTATAAATTCATTCAGAAATGACGCATGTGAAGAAACTGCTGCAACTGATGGCTAATGACAATTCTCCTCAAGTAGCTAGCCAAAAGAATAGGAAAGAAAGCGCATAAAACTTAGTGTAGCTGGCGAGGCACACAGCAGTCAGTGAGATTGGCAAACCCCAAGGCAGCATGGCCCACATCGTCAACCATGATCTTCGCATTGTCATACTGGGTCAGTGACACCACTTCGCAATAGATGCGAGTACTTGTGCGCCAATGCATTGCCAGGGTCATTCCGACTTTCAAGCTCTTTATTTGTGATGCTCTTCTCGCTTCGATCACCTTGTCTCCACGTAGGATTGCCTCAGCATAGCATCTTTTGGTGAGAAGTGAGTAGTGCTGGGGTTCCTCCGACATGACGCAGCTGTGGGTCAGTCGAGTGGAGGCATACCAGCTTGAGCACAAATGTTATGTTTGGGCATGCGCGCATGTCAGCATGCACGCACGTGAGCTTGTGGATGTGCTTATTTCGGAGACTCGTTACTGGTACTTGTTCAGCACCACAACATCCTGGTACTTGTTCAGCACCACAACATCCTGCTGAAAAAAGTTCACGATTATCAGCCATATACATGAGAATGATATACGCACGCAAATTATCCGTATCTATTATGCAATATGTTCTGTTTTTTGCAGTTTTTGGAGAAATAGCTCAGTTTGACTTTGAAGTGTCGTGCGCCACAAGAGACAGGGACTCAGAATCAGACACGCTCGGCGTAGTAGCCGCAGACCCAAGCCTAAGCGAGCCAAATTCATGATGCCCCCCTAAGCGAGACAAACCTCTTCCCGTTCCGGTACTTGCGCAGCACCATTCCAATAATTTCTATAAACTCGCATGGATTATGGATTATTGGCTCCAATGAGTGTGGGTCAAGTGCATTGTTCTTCTTCAGGATCAGAGTCCTGCAAAGGCAGGGGGCCAAACCGGTGCTGAGTAAGTACCTGGATCCATCCATACACACCTACACATTACTTGCTGGGTGCATTGTTCTTGTCTTGCAGGGTGCTGCACAAGTACCCTGGTTTTGTTGCTCCCGGTGCTGCGCAAGTACCTAAAGGGGCCTCATCTTTTGCAGTGTTTGTCTTGCAGGGTGCTGCACAAGTACCCTGCTTTTGTTGCTCCCGGTGCTGCGCAAGTACCTACAGGGGCCTCATTTTTTGCAGTGTTTGTCTTGCAGGGTGCAGCACAAGTACCCTGCTTTTGTTGCTCCCGGTGCTGCGCAAGTACCTACAGGGGCCTCATTTTTTGCAGTGTTTCACGCTTCTGTTTCCACCGGCGAAACGGAAGCCAAAACGGAAGCGACAAACCATGGAAAAAGATGGTGGAAAAACAGCTTTCCGGCACTTTTCTCATGCTAGCACCATCCTTTTGGTTGCAGTTGAATTTTGCCTTGGAGGAAAGAGTTTTTTTATTGTCAGATTTCTGGATCATAGCCAAGAAAGGCTCATTGCATACATAGCAAAGAAAGGCTCACTGCATACATGAGTTAGTTTGCAACAACAAGTGATCTTTGGCCACAATTTCTTCTGGTCTTGCAATTGGAGTGCCCAGCCATGGTTAAAGGAATCCAAGTAAAGTGTGGGTACAAAAAGTGCAGAAAAGCAGTGGACGTTAAGAACGTTCGCGGCTCTCTTACAGCTTCCAAAGCAAAGGTGGACTTGTCATTGTGTCGTACCTTGCGATCACATTGTAAGTCTGTAAAATTTTGTTCTGAAGCCCACAGAGATTTGTGCATCACCAAGCGCCCCAAAGGGAAACGAGGCGGCCGAGAGCCTTTGACCGCTGACCAATTCGCCAAGCTATTCCTAACCCTTCAAAGCTTTGCACCGTGGGCGGCTGTGCTGAGTTTGCTTCAATTGTGCATTGGCGACAGAGCGGACTGCAGCAGGCAATGCCGCTGGTGTTGGTTCAAATCATTGGACCCTGAATCTAAGGAACCAGCCACCATCAAAATTCCAAAAGTGAATGGGAAAACAGTTCCCAGAGAGATTCCTTTGCATGAACCATTTGCAAAATTTCTGTGGCAAATAAGTCAAATCAAATGCCTGGAAGCTTCCAATGGCGGACAGTGGCCTCATCATGGACAGCAAATCGGCCCCAACAAACCTTTGTTTCCAGGCTTTGATTGTACGGGCCAGAAGAGGGTTTGGTCCAAACCAATCTCAGAAAGGGCTTACTTGCAAAACTTGGCTGCTGCCAGTGACATCCTTGGTCGTGAAGTTGCTCAAGCTACCCTAGAAGGCAAAGGCCATGTATTCACAGGCTTTGACCTCACTAAGCTTGGCACCCACAGTATGAAGAAAACAGCGGTCACACTGATGGCTGAAGCCCAAGTCTCATTTTCGATCATTTCCAAAATCACTGGCACCTCAACCGAGATGTTGCAGAAATCTTATGACGTGCCAACAGTATCCAGGCAAAGCCGTGCCATGGCATCAGCATACCAAGGTGTTCTTCCGGAAGGCCTTGGCAGCAGCCAAGATAGCACTCCTGCCAGCCGAGCAACAAGGAAATTTTGTGGAATGTGTGGGATGGCCCGTGGCGATTTGAAGCAACAGTTCTGCACACAGTGCGGGGCACGGCTGTAAATAGCTCAGGTGATGTGTGACATGGAACAGCCTGTGAAAAGGATCTTGGGAAAGATCAGACCCAGACCTGGCACCAGTATGAAAGAAAAGTTGTGTGTGATGTACTATCAGTCTTGAAAATGGCACTGTACTGAAGCACTATTCTGGCACGACAGGCTTATCTTGCTGAGAACAACACCTTTCTTGTAGCTTTAGGCCTCCAGCATAGTAGTCCAATGCATCATGAGTCCTTTGCACAATTTGTCCTTTATTGCATCGTCTTATCAATGCATCATCATTAGTCCTTTGCAGCACAATGGCTTTATCACAAAATATCACAAACAGCTCCATGGTACTTTTGCAGCACCATGACGTTAGAACAGCACACGGACAACAAGATTTTTTCACGCATTCAATGGCTCCAATGGCCTGTATAAACAAAAGCTCAAGAAGGGTAAGGGAACCAAGAGTTGGAAGTCACTCATGCTCTGAACCCGCATGCTCTTAATAGAACACGAAAAACTTCTTCCCAAACATCTTCATCTGAGGTGGGCAGTCTTCCCGAAGAGCTCCTATCTGATGGCCACTGTACATTGGTCAGGCGCTCGGTCTTTTGGATGCCAGCCACAAATGCCATAGTTCGGTCCTGCCCATGGGCCCATGTTTCGAGGTCATAGCCTTCATCAAAGCCATGGGTGAGGATCATCGCGTAGACCTCATCTTGGCGGTCAACACTCATCCGCAGAACGAAGATGTCTGGCTCCAGTTGCGAGAGTGCCTCAAACAAAACATCTCGGGGTACTGCTGTGACCACACAGCCTGTTAGGTCAGCAACATAGCACTTGAAGCCAAACCTGGGAGGAGGCAACTCACATCGGAGTTTCCAGTGAACCACCCTGCCGCATGTGGAATTCCTGCAATTCGGATGCAGCATTTGAAATCCAGGCGAGTCCACTTCAGAGGAGAACAAGTGGACCATGTCAGGCTTCACACGACGCATGGCAGAGGCAGGAAGATCCAGCCCTGAAAAGTCCGACATGTACCAAATGGTCCTCTCCTCAACTCGCCGAACTTTGTTGCGGCTGCCCTCCATTGCAGCACTGCTGTTTGTTGGATGCATTCCACTTTTCAGAAATTTACAGTGCAATTTCAGTGCAATTTACTATATTTATGATGTGTAATGATATTTATGGTGCTTATGACTTCTGTTCCATTGTGGACACACCTGGGATAGGTACTTGTGCAGCACCATGGGCTTGGGCAAGAAAGCCAAACACGCAGCTATGCAACTATTTGCACAGGATGTTCCACACTGTTTGTCAGCAGTGTTCCACAGGATGTCCCCATGTGAAGTTGCATGTCGGCAAAGTTCATGTGAAGTTGGTTTTCAGGAATAAAAAACGCTTTGCCTCATCAGAAGGTACATGGTGCTGCGCAAGTACCAGGCATAACCTCACTTTGTGGTTTTGGTGCTGGAGAAGTACCATTGGACATCCTTGCACAGAATGAGAAACCAAAAAAACTGGCATCCACATCATTATATTCAAGAAACAGGGCCAGTACTTGTGCAGCACCCGGCAGGAAAAAATAAGGTACTTGTGCAGCACCCAAAGAAGCTTCGAAGCTGCTACTCTCTGATATGGCACTAGAGAAACATCTGGCATTTCCGCAGTGCCAAGACTTCACCTTTTTCTTTGCTCTTTCGAAGCTCTAAGTCTCCTAATCGGAATCCATCTAAGGGACAGCTGTTGCCTGCTGCTATCCCATCCCCTACTAAATGGGGAGCGATTTGGAGCACCACACCCTCACTGATGATTCTCAGCCGATGCGACTTTCTGCTTGAGATCCTCAATCTCTTTGGTCAGGGCAGCCTCCTTCTCCTTTAGCTCCTGTTTCTCATTTTCGAGCTCTGCCTGCACTTCACGTTCTGACAGGATGTCCTGCTCCACCTTTTCCAGGTTCTCTGTCACCTCAGCTTCAGCCTTCAGCTGACCCTCGGTTCGGCGGTCTCGCCAGGCATAGCGTTTGTCCTCCATGGCTGCACGGCTGTTGGATATGTAATGTGTTATGAAATGATATGAAATGATATGAAATGATATGAAATGATATGAAATGATATGAAATGATATGAAATGATATGAAATGATTCCAAAAGTACAAAATCAGCATGTTTTCCCTGCGACATTTCCACCTGTAACCAGCCACATGTATTGCATTAACATGCGCTTTCTTGTTTGTATCCTTAGCAATCTTCAGTGTGAATTGGAGCGTGGCTTTTCGAATGTTGAGTTTTGCATGGCCTATCTCACCAGCTTGCTTGAGACAAAACACTGAGCATGGCATCTCTGATTTATGTTATCAAAGGTACTTGTACAGCACCATGGCAATCACACTTTGCTGAGTACTGAATCACTGAGACAGCTTCTTAACTTGAGGCCCCTGCGCATCACATTCAATGATGGCCTCATGAGGCATCACAACAGAAACATGTAAAAAAAATGAAAAATATAGGTCGGTCTCCATGAAATCACATTAGTATATATATATATAAGCAACAAAGCCGGTACTTGTGCAGCACCCGGCAGGAAAAAATAAGGTACTTGTGCAGCACCCAGAGAAGTTTTGAAGCTGCTACTCTCTGATATGGCACTAGAACATCTGGCATTTCCGCAGTGCCAATTCTGCTTCACCTTTTTCTTCCTCCCGTGCCCGTCTGTGCTGGGCAGTCAGTGTCTTTGCTCTTTCGAAGCTCTAAGACTCTAAGTCTCCTTATCGAAATCCCTCTATTAGGGATAGCTGACAGTGCCTGAGCGCCTGTCTGGCTGTGCTGGGCTCTAAATCCCTCTATTAGGGACCGAAGATTGCCATGCCACTCAGTCGCTGCATCAGCTCTTGCCTGCTGCTTTCCAGACCCACAGTATCTGTATCCAAATCCCCTACGAAATGGGGAGCGATTTGGAGCTATGATCGGAGTTTCCCAAGCAAATGGTAGATATTACACATGGTTATTTGATATCACAAAAAATGATTGTATAAAGGTTTCATGATTGATTTATGTTGATTTTATAGATGCTTAATGATGCCACGCCCACATCTTGCCACATGATGGGATATATATATATATACATACATACATATATCATATGTATAGTTGATTATATTTATATATACTTTATTATATTTTCAAAAAAAACATATTTACAATAGACATGATATTCATAACAGGTCATACATATATGATCTGTTTAAAGGTGTTGATGTGCATATGCGTGTCAAAGTGTGTCACACATTACACAGGCCTGGCTGACTACTTCTTGGCCACCTTCGGTGCCTTTTTGGGCGCCACGCCCTCGCTGGAGCCTGCAGCACACACAGATGAAAGATTGAATTCATATTTGTCAGACCCAGCCTTCTCTTTTCACACCAGCTGCATGGGCAGAGGGCCCTGACATCTGCTTGCTCTCGGCCACACCAGGTCCTATCATGGTCCCCGGCACAAGCAAACACGTCATCTGAAATAAAGTCGGTACTTGTTCAGCACCCTCCAAAAAAGCATTGTTCACTTGGCATTCTGCCCAGCCTTCAGAGGAACTTTCAGAAGAGCTCGAGGAACCACTGGAGTCACTGCGGCTACTTTCGAGGTGCTGCAGCTTTTGCATGAGTGTGGCCTTCTTCAGTTCGAGCTGCTCGACCCTGTCTCGCAGTGCCTCCACCTCCTCCTTCTTCACCAGTGTCTCCTCACGGAGAGCCATCAACTCCTGGTTCTTCCTCTCGATCCTCTTAGCACCTTCTCGCTGAACTTGAGCCGGGGTGCGCCGATGCCCGCGCTTGTCCGGCATCCCTTTGTGCGTCCACCCAAGCAAGCGCCCACCCTTTGTGCGTCTCCTGAACGTCAGCCGGTGCTGATGTCCACCCACAAGTATTCTTCTCGCCGGTTGGTCTGGTGATGCTAATGAAACACAAGGGCGAGGTGCAAAGCCATGGTCTTCGAAACATTGGGCCAAAAAATCGCAGAGTGTGTACAGTAATCACAGAGCCTGTGAAATGGCACACTTCCAACTAGAGTCACACAATTTCAGTCAGGGAATTTCATTCAGCACCAAAACAGACCGAAAGGTACTTGCACAGCACCTTGATTTCATGTAAGGCACAGTCCATGAAGGCTCAAGCACATCTACCTGTAATAGCACCCAACATAGCACCCAAAATAGCTCAGGAATCGACCGGATTGAGTTCAGGAATCGACCGGATCATCACCGTGATCAACCTTGGAACAGATGACACTGTCACTAGGGGTGGGTTTTCGAATGTTGAGTTTTGCATGGCCTATCTCACCAGCTTGCTTGAGACAATACACTGAGATACACTGAGCATGGCATCTCTGATTTATGTTATCAAAGGTACTTGTACAGCACCATGGCAATCACACTTTGCTGAGTACTGAATCACTGAGACAGCTTCTTAACTTGAGGCCCCTGCGCATCACATTCAATGATGGCCTCATGAGGCATCACAACAGAAACATGTAAAAAAATTGAAAAATATAGGTCGGTCTCCATGAAATCACATTAGTATATATATATATAAGCAACAAAGCCGGTACTTGTGCAGCACCCGGCAGGAAAAAATAAGGTACTTGTGCAGCACCCAAAGAAGCTTCGAAGCTGCTACTCTCTGATATGGCACTAGAGAAACATCTGGCATTTCAGCAGCGCCAAGACAGGATCGCAACCAGCACAAGGCTGCCATCTTTTTCACCAGGTAGGCCATGGCTGCAGCTGTGCTGTCACATTTGCAATTCTTTAATGCACCTTCCCACAAGCAATCAGAACCATCTTGATCACTCGCGCCAGCAGTGGTACCGGCACAGCATTTCCAGCTGCTCGGCGTAGCTGGCGTTCTGACATATGGTGCCAGTAATCACCAACCCTTTCGAGACTGATGCCTTGAAGGCTGAGAATCTCGCGGGTTGTCATCTTACGCTCAAGCCAGGAGAGCCAATGGCCTGAAGAGCCAGCTCGGGTCACTGTCAAGCATGGACTTACACCCCACATAGCGTGAGGCACGCTGCCCGAAATGTCACAAACATACTCCTCGTGTCCGAGAATCCAGCCCTGTTTTGCGACATTGGCAGCAAGCTTCTGCACATTATTCTTCTCCGTGTTGTTCAGGGAATCCATGCCCAGCTCTTCTTGATGCTGGATGTTTTCCTTAAAGTAGTTTCGTAAAGGAAGCATGGCCACATCCCCTGGCCAGACAAACGGCCTAAGCAATGAAGCTTTGCGAACCCCGCAGATGAAAATGCGCTCCCGATGTTGCGGCAGCCAACCAACCGCAGAATTCTCCAGCACTTTCCATTCCACGTGGTATATATTCATGACGGTCAGGATGCTAATAATCATGTCCAAAGTCTCTTTGTGTTGTTGAGCAAAATTGCCCACATTCTCCAAAATGAAGCACAAGGGCTTGTGAAGCCACAGCCACCGCAGGATCCAGAAAATCACATGACCGCGTGGGTCCAGGATGCCATGGTTGTTTCCTGCTTTGCTGAAAGGCTGGCACGGAAAACCTGCTACAAATAAGTCACAGCTTGGAGAAGCTAAGAATTCCTCTGTGCAGCAATCTGAAAAGACATTGCAATGGCCATGCATTGCATGGTTCAAATTCAGCAACTTGTGATCGATTTCACACGCCACGCAACTCACAAACGATACCCTTAACATCTCCAAGGCCAGAAGTTCTGCGCTCAAGCCACTGCAGCAGCTGCCAACACGGAGTCCACTACTGTCAGTGTGCCTGGAGCAGCTGGAGCACCATGAAGATCTTGACGAGGCAGGCGCCATGATCCACTGAAGCAACATCACCATCACATCTTTTCTGACTCTTTCTTGGCTCTTTCCGGACTCTTTCCGGATTGTTTTTTGAACGCCCGGCATCAAGTCACAGCGGTGGCCGATTCTAAACACACACCATAAACTTGCAGCTATCTGCAGTGTGATATGTGATGCGTGTGATGTGATATGGTGATTCAGGCACTGCAACTTCTGATATGAGAAGCCAAATCTATTGCGCTAACATGTATTTTCTTGTTTGTATCCTTAGCAATCTCAGGAGGGCTTATCCGGTGTGAATTGGACCTTGGTTTTTCGAATGTTGAGTTTTGCATGGCCTATCTCACCAGCTTGCTTGAGACAACACACTGAGCGTGGCATTTCTGATATATGTCATCAAAGGTACTTGCACAGCACCATGTCAATCACACTTTGCTGAGTACTGAATCACTGAGACAGCTTCTTAAATTGAGGCCCCTGCGGCCCCTGCGCATCACATCGATCGCCTGGCATCACAACAGCAAAGACCAAATGGCACAGCAGCTGAAACACGGCTCAGTGACCCGGAATCCACATCTTTTATTCAAGAAACAAGGCCGGTGCTTGTGCAGCACCCGGCAGGAACAAAAAAAAGGTACTTGTGCAGCACCCAAAGAAGCTTCGAAGCTGCTACTCTCTGATACGGCACTAGTCACTAGAGAAACATCTGGCATTTTCCGCAGTGCCAATTCTGCTTCACCTTTTTCTTCCTCCCGTGCCCGTCTGTGCTGGGCAGTGTCTTTGCTCTTTCGAAGCTCTAAGTCTCTTAATCGGAATCCCTCTATTAGGGATAGCTGACAGTGCCTGAGCGCTGGCCTTGCTGCCCGATTCCGAAACAGAACAAACACTATACATTAATAGGTCATTTTGTTTTTCATTTTTCAATATGCACATCAATGAAATGAAATTGAAATGAACTTTCCTCCAGGGACATGGCTGCAGCTGGGTCGTCACTCATTTCATAAAGGTTCAAATTTTGAGCGTGGGCTGCCCGATTCCAATATCAATGCAACAAGTTGGCAACAACTGATTTGGGATTTTGCTATTGGTAGGGACATGTCATGTCTGCAGTTTGTAGCCCAATCGGCTCTCGCTGGATTTCCAGCAGAGCTTTCCCTCAAAATGGTTCAAGCGCGCTCAGGGTATCAGATCATCTTCACTGATTGCCAAGGGAAGCCAATGCCTGCATGATCGAAGCCTCCGTATTGCCCTTGCCGCCCTTGCCGCCCTTGCTGCCCTTGCCAGGCTTTCCTCCTCCTTTGGTTCCTTGGCCAGGCTCTTCTGGTTCTGGGTCCTCGCCGTCTCCTTTGCCGTCTCCCTTTTTGGTTCCCTTTTTGCCTCCCTTTTTGCCTCCCTTTTTGCCTTTGCCTCCTTTGGCTCCTTTGACTCCTTGAGTGCCCTGGGCATCCACCAGCTTGTGCAGATTGACATCATACAGCTCAGACTCAGGAGTAAGGAACTCCTTCCAGCAAGCACGGACCACTTCAGCTTCCAGCACCTCGCAAGCATACTCAGAGAGGCATGAGCCTATATATGGAACTTTCGATTTCAAGCATGCCAAAGCGAAGTTCACATCCATGCAGGTGCTATCATAGACACCACCCAGCTCGAAGGAGTGGATCATTTCAATGTAGAATGCGGTCGGAAGGGAGTAGAAGCTGGCAGGCAACATGTCCTCGATGTCTCCAGGAAGAGAACCTTGACCTTGACAAGGACCTCCTGCCAGCACCTTCCCGTTTTCCCCCAGCATCTTCTCCTTGCATTCCTTGCTCACCAGGAATCCGCCACGGAAGGGAGACACAACCACCGGTCCAATCAAGGAACCATGTGTGGAGCCTACATAGGTCTTTCTCTCCCGGTCTGTCAAAGCCAAGCCCTCTTTGCTGTAGACATGCAGCCCTTCCACCTGGGACACCATGCCACGGGTAAGGCATTTTCTGGTTCTGAGAGCCTTTTCGTCATATGCCACCTGAAAGGTATTGAGGGATTTCATCATCACGTCACCACTGGGCAGCACCAAATCCTTGGAGAATTGGGCTTCCAAAGAACGAAACCCATCCATGCACATCACCAATGTCTCCTCAGTGATCTCTGTCTCACCACGGGCCTGGAAAGCTGCATGAACATGCTTCTTGAACGTTGCCTTCTGGTATGGAGGACAGCGGCAGTGTGGCTGTGCAGATGATTCACCTTGAGTTTTGGTGTCATACCACACGCACCAATATTTCCCACGCACGGGAAACTTCTGCAGCACAGTGCCTTCCAGCAACTGTTGTGTCTTCAGAACCGACTGCTCAAATGGCCTGAACGTGATGAAGCGCCCAGCATACTCTTTCACTGCTCGCAGGTGTTCTTGAAGTTCTTTGGCGTTCTCCTCATCCTCTAGGAGCTCACTGTCCACCAAGCTTTCCAAAGAAACCTTCGTCTCTGGATCCTCGTCATCATCAGCAGCCAACACAGATTCCTTCACTTTGCCTGGGCTGATCTCTGCCTCTAGCTTGAGCAAGATTTCGGAAACAAGGTCAGCAACTTTTTGGGACAGCATGACGTCCTCAATGTTGGTGCCTCCTTTCAAAATTGTTTTGAAATGCGGGTCCGGCGTCTTGCCAAACACTGCAACCTTCAGGAACTGCACCACTAAGATTTCTGCATCTGTGTACTCGCCCTGCCATGACAAGTCAACTTCCTTGCCTTCACTTCCGCAGAAGGATCTGAAGATGTTGTGGTTGGTCAAGTTCAACTTCACCATGTCTTTGAATGATTCTCTTGGAAACTTGCACAGGACGTTGGTCACAAAGTATTCCATGACTTCCTTCTTCGTGAGAAACAATTGGATGTATCCAACAGATCCTGAAGCAC